ATTTTATCTACAAGTTACCATTTTTCTTTTTTGGGGGCCTTGTTACTTCTTATGTAAGATAAAATTGTAGAACAACAACAATCTGTACTTTTCGTAATGTGAACAAGTATTGTTATATTTCATATACTTGATATTTTAACATACTATACAAGAAGCTATATTTATAGCTATATTTAGAGTACTAGGGTTTCCTATACAAATGGGCTAAGCCCAATACTACTAGGGTTTCCACACTCCCCCTCAAGCTGGAGCATATAAATCATATGTACCAAGCTTGTTACAAATATTTTCCACTCTAGGACCTCTAAGAGACTTAGTTAAAATATCTGCAAGTTGTTCAGTTGTGCTCACATATTTTGTGATGATATGCCCACTCGTAATCTTCTCTCGAATAAAATGACAATCAACTTCAATATGTTTTGTCCTCTCATGATATACCGGATTTGATGCGATGTGCATTGCAGCTTGATTATCACACATGAGTTGAACCGGTTTTGTGTTCCCATATTTTAACTCTTGGAGGAGATGCTTCAACCATAAGATTTCACATGTAGCAAGGGCCATTGCACGATATTCTGCTTCAGCATTAGATCTGGCAACCACATCCTGTTTCTTACTTTTCCATGAAATTAAGTTTCCACCAATCAAGATGCAATATCCCGAAGTGGAACGTCTATCCATCGGACATCCGGCCCAGTCTGCATCACAGTTTCCCACCATATCATGGTGGCCTCGATCTTCAAACAACAATCCTTGCCGTGGAGTTTTCTTGATGTATCTCAAAACTCGGATAGCTGCAACCCAGTGTCCAGTACAGGGCTTATCAAGAAACTGACTAAGAACACTTACCACAAATGAAATATTTGGTCTTGTGATGGTAAGATAATTCAAATTGCCGACGAGTCTTCTATATTTTTCCTTGTTGGTCAAAAGATCTCCCTGTTCTGATAAGAGTTTAACGTTCGGATCCATTGGTGTATCCACTGGCCTGCAATCTAGCAAACCTGTTTCCTCAAGAATATCCAAGGCATACTTTCTTTGTGAGAGAGCAATTCCATCTTGAGACTGTGCGACCTCAATGCCAAGGAAGTATCTCAACTTTCCCAAGTCTTTTGTTTGAAATTTGCTAAAGAGATGTTGCTTGAGGAGCGCAATTCCTTGATCATCGCTACCTGAAATGACAATGTCATCAACATACACAACAAGATAAATACATTTGTTGCCAGCAGAGTGTCTGTAGAATATAGAATGATCGACATCACTGCGAATCATGTCAAAGCTGCAGACAACGTCACTAAACCTCCCAAACCATGCACGTGGAGATTGCTTCAAGCCATATAATGAACGGCGTAACCTGCACACCATACTAGACTCCCCTTGAGCAACAAATCCAGGTGGTTGCTCCATATAAACTTCCTCGTGCAGATCTCCGTGAAGGAATGCGTTTTTAATATCCAATTGGAACAATGGCCAACGGCTCATTGCTGCCATGGATAAAAGTATAAAACCAAACGAACTGATGCAATCTTCGCTACAGGAGAAAAAATGTCAGTGTAATTCAAACCATATATCTGAGTATACCCTTTCGCCACAAGGCGTGCTTTAAAGCGATCAATCTCCCCATCAGGCCCAACTTTAACTGTGTAAAGGAGTGTTTGGGATTGCTTTAAAAAAGCGCTTTTTAGCTTTTGGCTTAAAAAAAGCTGAAAAGAGTGTTTTCAAATGACAGCTTCTGCTTAAATTAATCACTTAAAAGTTAAAAGCTGGAAGCAGATAGAAAGGTGCTTTAAACTGCTTCTCACTTTTTTCTATTACACAAAAAGTACTTATTTTACCAAACACTACCAACTTTTACTTTTTCAGAATCACTTTTTTCTCAAACATTACCAACTTTTACTATTAATCACTTTTCCCAAAATCACTTTAAAAAATCACTTTTTTAAAGTTGAAGCAATTGCAAACACTCCCTAAATCCACCGACATCCAACCACTGATTTGCCAGTGGGAATGGGGACTAAGTCCCACGTCCCACTAGAATGAAGAGCCTCCATCTCAACCAACATGGCTTTACGCCACTCCGGGTGTGCCAGTGCCTCATGTGTGGTTTTAGGAATGCATATATGAGATAGGTGGGAAATGAAAGCATAGTAAGGGGTAGAGAAGCGGTGATAACTCAAAAAGTTATATATGGGATGTGGATTCAATGTGGAACGCGTACCTTTTCGGAGGGCAATGGGCAAATCATCCTGAGTGGTTTCAAGTGCTGGAGTAGGTGATGGTGGTGATGCAGGATCCATCATAGGGGAATCAACGGGCGTGGTCACGATGGGCTCAATGGGAGGAGGTCGAGGTCGTCGATGGTATACCTGTAATGGACGGTCTGACATAGGAGGGAAGTTTGGTGCTCATCAGATGGGGGGCTAATGGGAGTCTCCTGGTGGATGGGCCGGAGATATGAGGTGAAGTCCAAACATGATGAGGTATCAACTGAAGATAATGGATAATAGAAGGACGACTCAATGAAAGTGACATCGGCGGCTGAAATAAAATGTTTCTTAAGTAATGGAGAATAACAACGATAACCCTTTTGGAGTCGTGAATATCCAAGAAAGATACATTTTATTGACCTAGCCGACATTTTAGCTAATCTAGGTGTCGTATCATGGACAAAACACACACACCCAAAAACATGAGGTGGTAATGGAAATAAGTCACGGCCAGGAAACAAAATAGTATAGGGAATTTCATTATTAAGAACTGAGGAAGGCATTCTAATTATTAAATGACACGCAGTGAGCACAACATCTGCCCAATACTGAGGAGGTGTATGGGAATGTAATAATAAGGTACGAGCAGTATCAACCAAGTGTCGGTTCTTGCGTTCAGCAACCCCATTTTGTTGAGGCGTGTGAACACAAGATGATTGGTGAAGCATGCCCCGTGATGACATGAATTGATTAAAGGATGCCCCAAAAAATTCCTTAGCATTGTCACTGCGTAAAATTTTGATAGAATGACCAAACTGAGTTTGAATTTCAGCATAAAACGTTTGAAAAATATGAAACAATTCAAAACGCTCCTTCATTAAGAACAACCAGGTGTAACGAGAAAAAACATCCACAAAAATAACAAAATAACGGAAACCTAAAGTAGAAGTGACTCGATACGGACCCCATACATCTGTATGAACTAAATCAAACAGTGATGTAGCCCATTTATTGATTCTCCTTGGAAAGGATGTACGAGGTTATTTTCCAAGGTGGCATGACTCACAATCTAAAGATGAAAGATTTGAGAAACCTAGAACCATACGTTGAAACTTGGAGAGACTAGGATGACCCAGACGGTTGTGTAAGGTAATAGCAGGTTCAACTGAAACACAAACGGTTGGATCAGGAGGATGGAGATGATACAAACCTTGAGATTCATGTCCGACGCCAATCGTTTTCCCCGTACAACGGTCCTGCACAATCACAGAATCAGCAGAAAATGTTACGGAACAATTAAGAGCACGTGTAATTTTGCTGACAGAGACAGGGTTAAAAGGGGTGTTAGGGACATATAAGACTGAGTCTAATGGTAAGGATGAAAATGGAAGTGCTTGCCCAATACCCGAAGCCGAAGTTTGAAGGCCATTAGCAAGAGTAATCAAAGGAAGATGTCAGTGCCTGGTAATATGGGATAAAAGATGGGGATTACCAGAAATATGGTCTGAGCCTCTGAGGCACCTGAGTCAATGATCCATGAGCCCATTGTGTTTGAAACACAAGCGGTAGACACCCCGGGCGTGAATAAAGGCATATTAGTCAACTTAAATTGTTGATATGCTGCATATTCTTCCGGTGATAGAACAATGGGAGATGATGGGAGCTGAGCAACATGGGCTGAGGGAGGATTTCTCCCATGTAATTTCCAACATTTGTCTTTAGTATGACCAATTTTATGGCAAAAATCACATTTAGGACGATTCCATCTTGAGTATCCGGTGTTGTTTCCTCTGTCAGAACTCATAAAAGACATTTTTTTTTTAAATACTGTTATTTTTTTTTAGAAGAATGAAAAGCTAACAAATGAGAAATTAAAAATAAAACCTGCTGAGGATCAACGCTTCAAGACAGTAGAACTCACGATAGCCGTTTGCAAATACTCCGTAAAAAATAAAACCAGCTGAGTGTGTTGACCGTCTCACGTTTGAGGGACCATCTCTCAGGCGACGCCAAGTTGGAGTGTGAACAAGTAGACCAGAGAGCAGTGAAACAGCGGAAGTAACTGCCTGAGATTCCGTCAAATAGGTGGAGCAACGGCCAGAGCAGCGGCGAGCGGCCAGAAAGGCGGCGACGACCGATATGAGCGGCGCGTGGTTTTGGCGGCGGCGGCGCGTGGGTCCGATGAGTGACTGGTTTATGTTGTTTTGGTCGCTAGGAGCCACAGATCTTCAGTGTTTCGTCTGTGTGAGCTCAAGATGAGTAGAAAGAGAGAGATCTGTAAAGAAAGGTGAAGGAACCTGGCAGTTGGCGGCGGCGCGTGGCAGTGCGTGCAAGGTGCAGCAGAGGTTTAGTTTCAGACGTTAGTGTACTGAGGATGGCGGTAGGTGTGGTTTGATATATCACTACCGGAAATTGCTCAAACACCAAATGCTCTTACTATTCACGGCGGACCTTCTTGCCGGAAATTAAGAATACTATATCTAAAGACATATACGGCTCTGATATCATGTGAACAAGTATTGTTATATTTCATATACTTGATATTTTAACATACTATACAAGAAGCTATATTTATAGCTATATTTAGAGTACTAGGGTTTCCTATACAAATGGGCTAAGCCCAATACTACTAGGGTTTCCACAAGTAAAAACCACGATAACCCCAAATGTATCTTACACTATGGATTGGGGGAGTATTAAATGTACCTAAAGTACTAAACCCTTCAAAAACAAAGATTTTATCATAAATTTGACAATTTAATAGGGTCTTGTCTAGATAAGTAATCATGTAACCTGGTAATTTATCTGGTCTAAGGGAACGCCTAATAAGCAATGGAGGCTGTGGATACAAACGCAACGCTTCCACAACAATAAGCCGCAAGTACCTGAAATCCATGAAAAAATTTATCGCAAGACTCAAGAAAGATATAGATCATTTATAAAGTGGATATGTGAATTGTGAAGAAATCCCAGCTAACATGAAAATGTCACCATTTAGCCATTCTACTCTTTCACTTTCATGGAAATGCCACCATCAGAAATTAAAAGTTGTTATTTCATTTCAGCAGCTTCCTCACAAAGAACGCAATTGACTACTGAGCTACCAGCAGAATGACTCAAATGGTAACCATTTTGGAATAAGCTGCTCATCCGTGACAATGAAGGATCAAATCGATAAAAAGAAACGACTGAGAGACGGATGTTGTTTTACATCAGTAGGTTAAACAGAAAATGGTGTACAAAAAATCTTAAGGTTTATGGTAAACTCATATCTGTTAATGTGCTTTTAAGTGAAGAGGGACCCGAACAAGTTCAAAGAGTCATTTCACTTACTCCAACTTTTTGAGTGATTCAAAGGTGGTGGTTCTTCCCTGTCCAAGTACAATGTCAATTTCCGCCTGGGCTTTCTTCATTTTGGATGGATTCTTCACCAAATATAACAATTATCAAAGCCACATAGATAAGAATTAAAATGTTCATTGATGAAATAAATTTTCAAAAAGAAAATAATGACAGTTATGGGGAAAAAGGTAGGAAACATCAACAAAGAAATAGCGAAGGACAGTAATTTTCATTTTCTTCCTAGAGACACTTTAGTATGATTCCACCTTCAACAGCCCAGCAATTTATGCTCTTTTTTGTTTAGCCTTTTAAATAAATGTACAAAAGATTCTAATCTTCGGATTATGACGAACTATACTTGTGCTAGGAGAAAAACAGCCCAGGTAAGCACAGCTGCAGTTGTTTCATGGCCAGCAATAAGCATTGTCATTAAATCATCTCGTAGCTGTCACATAGAGAACAAAACAAATGTGAAAAATATTAGACAATTACTACTGCATAGAGATCAATGCCGAACATTCAAGAACAGCAACATAGGTTTGCATGAAAGAATGATAAGATCATACGTACCGTACCATTTTTTTAGCTCAGAATTATTGCTTTTATTTATAAAAGAAACTATGAAGAAGGTATAAGATACTCCACCTGACGATCATCCACATCCACACCCCTCATATCAACTAAAAAACGCAACACACTTGCATCCTGCAAATTTTATAGTTAAGCCGAAATTCACTGATCTGGATTTATACATCTTTTTTCACTAACTCATCTGGAATAGGAACACTACTATAGTACTATACCCAGATAAGTGCCAACCTTAAGGTCTAGGTAGTCCCTCTGCTGCAGTTTTTCAACATCAGTTTCCTGTCAGAGAATACAATCAAAGTGAAACAGAAACTCCTGGTGTACAAATTAAATCCATTTTAAGAATTACTAAAATAATATTCGGAAACAATCAGCTAATATATGTGTAACATGGATTGATATACTACTTTTCATTTCCAACTCCAGAATCTTCTTTATACTTGGCTAGGCTAATAAAATATTTCATCCATAACGAATTTATCCTTGTTTAAAACTAATTAACTTCTGAAGATGATAGCTCAAGTTTTATTCACTCCCGTCCGATAAAAGCGATATTGTATTTTACATTTTTACTTCATATGCACATGGTTGTATGCAATGGTGCTCCCAAAATTTACGAAAGTGGGAAAATACAAGACATAGGTGCTCTTAGTTTTAACACATATAAACATTATAAATTAATATATAAAATGTTACCATCAATGAAAAATTAGTTTATACTTCCACTTAATTTGATACCTTCGTAGTTGGTACGCTACGAAATAAGTGCATGTTTTCCTATGGAAAGTCCTGATGGATTAAACCCGCCGGCAGATCCATAAGAGATGTCGAGGAGCTATGAACATCTGGAAAAAGCCAACATTTTAAAATCCTATGGATTTCTTCGGATGAAAATATTCCTAGAGATCCATGTGGTAGAATGATAGGAATGGGCCTATTATTGTAGATAATAATAAGTGGGCTTGTACTATAAATAGAAAGGGTAGGGAGGCAATTGGGGTAGGCAAGTATTCAGTTGGACTTGGCTAGACTAGGAGACTGGACATCTCGAATTGTCTATTTACCTATTCCGATCTGTTCTTACTCAATAAACAAATCTTTGATCTGTTCTAGATCAGTTCTCTTTGATTTTCTACTGTTCAGACTTGAATTACATCAGCTTTCTATCATTGGTATCACAGCAAGCCGCTTCCTGGAGGCAGAGAAAATCATCATCGAACATCTCAGAGCACTTGCTCTCCTGGTGATCATATTTGAGTGGCGACCTCAGCATAACTCTCGTTTCAGTGGTGAATGGTCAGAACGAGGGCGAAAATGGAGTTTCGCATGGATACTCTGGAGCGAAATCTGGTGGAGATGCAAGAGGTGCAGGAATAAAAACTGATGGAGGTGCAGGAGGAATTACGATCATCAATGAATGATCAGCGTACAGCAATGGATAATTTGGCGGCAAACCTGGCGGCATCCATGGCCGCGATGAATGAAGAGCTTTGGTCCAGAAATAGATCAATCTCAACCTCGGCATCATGTGCGATCATCTACCAGTCCGACGACTTCTGGAGGTAATCCTATCATCGGTAATCCCATTCAATAGCACATCCAAAATCACAGAAGGCATGAGGATGTTAATAGATTTCAAGTACATACGGGTAGATAAATTGATTTACCTGTATTTAATGGGGAAGGTGTGTATAATTGGATTGTGAGGATGGAGAGGTATTTCCGTCTGAACCAGATTAATGAAGAACAGGTGGAAGCTGCAGTAGTCGCTAAGGAAGATAGGGCTATAAACTGGTTTATCTGGTGGGAACACCAAACTGAAAGAAAGAATTGGGAAAATTTGAAGGCATCTATCATACGTAGGTTTCAGCCAGATCTAATTCAGAACCCATATGGGCCTATGCTAAGCTTGAAACAGACTGGAACTGTAAAGGAGTTCAGAGATGAGTTTGAAATGGTGATAGCCCCTCAAATCAATGTGGATACGGAGATTCTGAAAGGAAATTTCCTTAATGGCCTGAAGAATGAGATAAAAGCTGAACTGAAATTACATAACTCCACTTCCTTAACTGAGATTATGGACATGGCTCTACTGATTGAAAGTAGAAATGAAGCTATATATTTGAGGAGTAAATGTGATGATAAACTATCTGGGAAGGAGAAGGGACCTGCAGCTACTAAAACTTACACATGGGGAGAAGGATTTAAACAACAATTTGGAAATTCTTGGTCTAATACTACTGGGAAGAGTGCAGCTGAAAACAAGAGTAACCCATCTTGGTTTACTCCTGAGGGAAAGGAGACAGAAATAAATCCCTCAGACATCAGAAGGGTGGGGCCACAACTGTCACAGGAAGAATATCTGGACCGGAGCAGGAAGGGACTTTGTTTTAAGTGTGGAGAAAAATGGAACAAGGAACATACCTGCAAATTAAAGAATTACAAACTCATACTGGTGGAAGATTCTGACAGTGAGGAAGAAGTAGAAGGTGCAGAGGTAAAAATTGCAGCTGAAGAAGTAACTACCATGGAATTTAAGTCCATGCAACTTTCTCTTATGAGTAAGGAAGGGATACCTTCTACGAGGACTTTCAAGGTCAAAGGGAGTTTAGAATGAGCTGAAGGGAAGGCAGAGGTTGAAGTACTCATTGATAGTGGGGCTACGCACAATTTTATATCACAGAGGTTGGTGGATCAATTGGGACTAAGCATACACACCATTACTGGATACAAAGTTCAAATTGGTAATGGAGAGGAGATTATAAAAAATGGCAGATGTGAGGATCTAAAACTAGAGTTTACAAGATACCAAAATAAATCAGCATTTTTATGTTTTGGATCTGGGAGGTACAGACTTAGTGCTTGGGATGGAGTGGCTGACTACTTTGGGTGATGTGGAGATAAACTTTCAGAAACAAAGTATAAAATGGAAGGTTCAGGGGGTAGATCAGCAGATTCAAGGGGACCCACACTTGAATTCCATTGAGATATCACTGAAAACCATGACTCAGATTCTGCAGGACACTGGTGATGGTTATTTTGTGTTTTGTGAAGGAAGAGCAATTGAGATGAAAGGAGAAGAATTAGAGAAAATTCGTGTAGAAGACATTGCGACAGGGGTTGATGAGCAATTTGTGTATGCAGCAGCTAAGGTAATCGGCATGGATGTGCTTCCTCCTGAAAAATTAAATGCTTGTCAAGCATTGTCACAGTTTTTAACTGATACAGACTCTGGAGTCGATTGGCCACACATCAAGCACTTAAATTCATCAATCATCAACCACACTGTGAATAGGACTTTTGAGAGACTACGAGCTACTTTCAGGGCATATTCTTTTACCAACTCTGAGGCTCTAGAAATGTTAGAGCAGCCTGAATGAATAATCCTCCAAAGTAATGACAACAACAAGATTCAGGAATCACTTGGATGGAGTGAAAAGCCAAAGGTGAAGGAAGTAATGATGAAGATCCAAGCACAGAAGCTAAAAGCCCAGAAATCAGTGAAGTACCGGGAGGGGAGAGGTGCAAGAATGAATTGGAAGTGGAAGATCATGGCTCATTCGTATCACCCACCTTGAGGACAAGGTGGTTGTTTAGGGGAGGAGTATTGATAGGAATGGGCCTATTATTGTAGTCTGTAGACAATAATAAGTGGGCTTGTACTATAAATAGAAAGGGTAGGGAGGCAATTGGGGTAGGCAAGTATCCAGTTGGACATGGCTCATTCCTATCACCCACCTTGAGGACTATTGAAGGAAAATAATAATTCACATTTAAGACATAATATTGTAGTTAGCCGTTACATATCTTTACCATTTAATATTATATTATTACTTACCTTATAGACTTAGTCAGTGTATGTATAAATAGAGCTCATTGTAAACGAGTTATATACATCAAAATATATTCAGACATTCAGTTTCCCTTCTCACTATTATGGTATCAGAGCTCTTGAGCTCTAACCAGCCCTCCTTCCCTCCCCTATGACAACCGATAATCAGCCTGAGGTTCTCCTTCAACCAGGAGGCCTCGATAATATTCCCACCAGTACACCTATCACCTCTAATACCCCTCCCACCACAGTTTCTGCTCCTCTCACCCCTGATGGATTAATCCTGCTAAATCCCAGTCACTTCCCAGAAAAGCTAGATGGTTCAAATTACCTTGTATGGCGAGATCAGATTCTGGATCTTCTTTTTGGGTCTCACCTTGATCAATATATATCGGATGATGCTGCCCCGCCTCCACAGACTGACGCAGATGGTTACCTCCGATGGACTAGGCAAGACCGCCTCATCCGGCACGCCCTCATAGCTTCCCTGACTTCGGCATGTAAACCTCTCGTTGGGTCGTCTCGTACCTCCGCAGCAGTTTGGAAAACTCTAGAGGAGCTCTATGGGACTCGTTCACCATCTCAAATCCGAAATATGAAGGACACCTTCCGCCACACCAAACAAGGCTCTCAACCGGTGGGGGTGTATCTTCATCACCTGCAAACACTCGCCAATGAATTGGCTCAGGCCGGCCGACCTGTTGATGACGAGGATTTCGTCGTTCAAGCCCTGGAGGGACTATGACCCGAGTTCGAATCATTTGCGAACTCGATTCGTACCTGCGGCGACAATCGGTTCAAGACCATCTATAATTTGCTCACAGGCTTCGAAGCCTCCATGAAGCGAAAGGAAGATTTGAGCTCCACCGCATCGGTAGTCACCGCTAATAACGTAGCTCTTGGCGAACAAGTGGCACTTGCGGCACGCAGAGGGAGTCCAGCACCGTCAGTTTTAGGCCCAGGACCACCGGCCCAAATCCAACAGCCGCCCAGTCAGACTAATTTTTCAGGCCGCACTTCTAATCGGAATCAGGCCCGAAATCAGCGGCCCAATACCCATTACGGTCCCAACCGACGTGGAAATAATAACTTTGGAGGTTCTACTAGCAACCAGGCAGCCCGCAACAGCTCGAGGAATAGTAATTTTGGGGGTAATGTTACATGTCAAATTTGTGGGAAACCGAATCATTCTGCTCTCAATTGTTGGCATCGGTTTGAACATCAGGCTTACCCTCCTCAAGTCAGCACGGCTGTCACTCGGCATAATGGTTGGCTACTTGATTCTGGGGCAACCAATCATGTCACCAACAACCTGAATAATCTTTCCTTGGCATCCGATTATACTGGCACTGATTCTCTCGTCATTGGTAACGGTAAAGGTCTTGCGATAGCACAAGTTGGGCATATGACCCTTCACTCCCTTTCTCTACCTAATACCCTTTTTGTC